TCTGATCATTCCCCCGCTTGGTCTCACCCAAGATGGCTCATCTGAGAGCAGCTGAGTATCTTGAATTATAAAGCAATGAAGTTGTTGCTTCTGCTACAAATTCTTGTAGCTGGAAGCCTTCCAACCTTCTAAGTATTTCTTTATATGTGGTTCAGAGTTCTGGCACCATCCCTTGAGCCGGCTTGGTCCAGTATTCTGTGTTGTTGCTGACAGAGCTCTTCATTGCACTTCCACCTGATCCACCATCTTGTTTGTTCTCTGAATTCTATTTCATGGAATCCCAGTCAGTACAGGGCTCTCTAGTTAGTGAAATACATTTACATAATGAAATTTATCCGGACTAAAGGAACTCTTAGTAGACTGAAAAATTGGATTGTGTGGATAACTTGAATTTTTTTGAATGAGCTAACCAATCCTCTCAGTTATGCAGTCTCCAAAAATTGGGTTCAGTAAGTCACCTCAGAAGAATGTCCTCAATCTCTGTCAGTAATATCAACCAGTTTGTTTTCTTTTTTCAATTTCTGTGAAAACAGAAATACCATAAAGTGGATGGCTTTAACAAACAAATTTATTTTCTCACAATTTAAGAGGCTAGAAGTCCAAATTCTGAGTGCTGGCTTCTATTGGAAGGCTTAATTTCAGTCAGCTCTAGGAAAAGGTCCTTACCTGCTTTTAGCATTCATAGGCCCAACATTCCTTGGAGATCTCCATGTGGCTTAGCACCAATCTTTCCGTGCATCTAGGAGCTTCACAGCCCAGGGACCCCAGTCCCAAGGGGCCATATCCCATCCCTTTTTTTTTTTTTGGTGGGTGTGGCACTATAGTATAAGTGGTGGTGGTGGTAGTGCACTGTGGAATCAGTTCTCACTCACAGTGACCCTACATAGGGTTTCCCAGGCCATAAATCTTTATGGGAGCAGAAAGTTTCATCTTTTTCCCTATGAAACAGCTGGTCAGGCCATAAATCTTTATGGGAGCAGAAAGTTTCATCTTTTTCCCTATGAAACAGCTGGTAGTTTCAAACTGCTGACCTTGAGATTAGCAGCCCAACTCGTAACCATTATGCTACCAGAGCTCCTTAGCATAAGTACTGGACTGCTAACCACAAGGTTGGCAGTTCTAATGACGTACCAGCTGCTTCTCAGAAACCCTATACAGGGTCACTGTAAGGCAGAACTGACTCACTTGAGGCCACTTAACAACAATGATAGGGCCCTCCTTCTCTACTCAATTCAATCTCCTTTTATCTCTTGTAAGATAAGAACTCCCTTACAAGGAAGCAGGGAAGCAGGGTTGTGATGGATTAAGTGTATTGCAGCCCACCCTAAAGCCTCTTATGTCAGATCACATTATGGGGGATCATCACATAACGGCCACTTTACATCACTGCATGACTGCAGAACCACTGAGATCATGGCTCAGCCAGCTGACACAGGGTTTGGGGGGGTGGGGGGGTAGCAGCACAATTCAGTCCATGAAAGTGGTAAAATACATATAACAAAACATTTTTGATGTGTATAATTGTGTCATTAATTATGTGTATCATGTTGTACAACCCAGCACCACTATCTAGTTCCAGATTTTTCATCACCCTTAACAGAAACTCAGTACCCCACAAAGTAATGACATCCCTTTCCCCTTCCCTCCCACTCCTGGTAGTCAGCAATAGACTGTCATTTCTATACATTAGCCTATTCTAGATATCTCATGGAAATGGGATTTTATAATAATTATTCTTTTATGACTGACTTATTTCACTCAGCATATTTTCAGTGTTCATCAATATCATAATACATATATCAGAACTTCACTTCTCTTTATGTCTGTGCTATGTTTCATTTTATATATATAACAATTTTTTTAAGGCACTCTGGTAGTATAGTGGTTACGAGTCGGGCTGCTAAGCTCAAGGTCAGCAGTTCAAAACTACCAACCATTCCTTGGGAGAAAGATGAGTTAGGCTTTCTGCTCCCATAAAGATTTACAGTTTTGGGAACCCTATACAGGGTCAGGAGGGACCAGTCGCTGGAGAAAGGATGTTTAGTAAGGTGGAGGGTCAAAGAAAAAGAGGAAGACCCCCAGCGAGATGGATTTGCATAGTGGCAGCATCAATGGTCTCAAGCATGGCAACAACTGTGAGGTTGGCCCAGGATTGGCAGAGTTTTATTCTGTTTTGCATAGGGTTGTTATGAGTCCATACTGACTCAATGGCACCTAACAACAACAACATATAGGGTCACTATGAGTCGGAACTGACTCCATGGTACAACAACAACACAATTTGTTTAGTCATTCATCCATTCATGGACATTTAGGTTTTTTCACCGTTTGGCTACTGGGAATCATCCTACAATGAACACTGGAGCACAAGTATCTGTTGCATCTCTGCTTTCATGTCTTTTGAGTCTGAACCTCAAAGTGGATTTGCTGGTAGCCGTGGATTCAGAATAAGCACTGGACTGTTAACCATAATGTCAGTGATTCAAAGCCATCATCCATTCTTCAGAAACACTATACAGGGTCACTAACTAATTCGATGGCACTTAACAACAATGGTAGTTCTGAAACCCCTCGGTGGTACAAGCAGTTAGTTCACTCACTGTGGCAGTTTGAATCTACCCAGAGGCACCTCAGAAGAAAGGCCTGGTTATCTACTTCTGAAAAATTAGCCATTGAAAATTTTATGGCACACAGGTCTATTCTGACACAGATAGGCTTACTATGAGTAAGAATTCACTGAACAGTAATGAAAATAAACAATACATAGACTTGGTGAAGGTAATCACAACACTACACCAGACAAAGGATTAGTGTCTGAATACATAAAGTACTTCTAAGCACTGAATCACAAGGCTGGTTTGAACTACAAGGTCGGTGGTTCAAACACACCAGCCACTCCTTGGAAACTCTATATACAGGGTTGCTATGAGTAGGTACTGAGTCAACAGCACTTAACAAGAAAAGAAAAATAATCTAATAGAAAAAGGAACTAGAATTTCCCTGGAAAATAATCTTATCAAAAGATAGCCAACATCAGTGATAATAAAAAGACAGCCAACATCAGTAATAATAAGGGAAATACCAATCAAAACTACAATGAGATGCACTTATTTGATTGCTAAAAATTCAAAGTCTTGATAATATCACGTGTTGAAGAAGATGTGAGTCACATGTCTTTATACATTGCTGGTAGATATGTAAATTGGTAAAACCACTTTGGAAAATATTTTGGCCTTACCGCCTAAAAGAAAGTATCACATATTTTGACACCCAGCAATTCCATTCCTAGGTATATATATATAGGCATATCTTGTTTCACTGCTCTTCATTAATACTATGTCTTTTACAAATTGAAGGTTTGTGGCAACCCTGTGTCTCACAGTTCCTTTGGTGCCATTTTTTTAATAGTATGTGCTCACTTTGTGTCTCTATGTCACATTTTGGTAATTCTCACAGTATTTCAAACTTTTTAATAATGCTGTTACACACTGGAGTCCTGGTGTGGCACTGTAGGACAAGCACTGGACTGCTAACTACAATGTTGGCAGGTTAAACCCACCAGCCGCCCCTACAAAACCTTATACAGGGTCACTGTGAATTGAAACTGACTTGACAATACTTAACAATTGCACACTTAATAGACTACAGTATGATATAAACATTTACACCCTCGGAAACCCTGTACAGGGTTGCTATGGGTCGGACCCGACTCGATGGCACTTCACAACAACAACAACAACATGGTATAAACATAACTTTTATATGCACTGTTGTTGTTAAAGTGCCATCGAGTCGGTTCTGACCCAGAGCAACCCTGTGTTGGGTTTCCTAGGAGTGACTGGTGAGCTTGAACCACCGACCTTGCAGTTCAAACAAACTTTGCAGTTCAGCGCATTAACCCACAGCACCATACCAGGATTTTTATATGCACTGGGATACCAAAATTTCAGGTGACTTACTTTATTATGGTAGTCTGGAACAGAACCCACAAAATCACCAGAGTATACCTGTATTCAAGAGACCTGGCAAATTACATCAAGAAGCAGACATAAGACTATTCCAACAACAGAAACTTGACAACAATCCAAATTTACTAGATAACTAATATGGCATATTCACACAATGGTATATTATACAGCAGTTAAGACAGAAGAGCCTTAGCAGCAACATTCAACAATACAGATAAACCTTATCACTGAGTGAAAAAAACAAGTCCTAGATAATTACATCATCATGATACCAGTCTGTAAAGTTAAAGAATGTGTATGCACACACATAGAAGGGGCAAAAAGAAAAAAAAAACTGCCTAGAAAAATCCCCAAATGTTTGTAAAAATAAGAAATACAATGCCAACTAATCCATAAGTCAAAGATTATTAAATAGAAGACAGAAAAGACTGAAGAGTCGAATGGTAATGAAAATAACATGTATCCAAAATGGTGGGATTTAGTCAAAGCAGTACTTGGAGTGAAATGTATAGGCTTAAAAATGCATATATTAGAAGAACTGAAAAGTAAAGAGCTAAACATATATCTCAAGAAGTTAGAAAATGAACAGCAAAATAAACCCAGCAAAGTAAAAGGAAGGACTATAAAAGCAAAATTCCCTAAATCAGAAAAGCATACAATATAGAGAGGATCAGCAACACCAGAAGTGTGATCTTCAAACAGGAATAAATGGAACAAACCTCTGACCTGACAGTTCAAAATAGACACACATAATAACCACAGGAACGTGGCTGCCAGATAATTAAACAATAACGAGGATATTACAAAGCAAGGTTATGCTAATCTGTTTGGATATAACATACGAATTCCAGAGAAGTAGAACTTGGCTAACAGCTGCTGGTTGGTGGGTGGCTGGGAGAAAGCTGTTGATCTGGGGGTTGGTGGGCTAGATGGGCGCCTGAAGCCAATGCGGCCGAGTGGATCCATGAGAACCAGGCGAGGGAAGACTGGGCCTGAGATGGGTCGGGGATACTGATCCGCCGCCCACCGCAGGGAGAACGCCGAGAACATGTACTACTTCTCTGAGCTGGCGCTGACCCTGAACGAGCACGAGGAGGGCGTGGCGCCCACCGACAGCCGCCTGCGGCCTGACCAGAGACTCATGGAGAAGGGGCAATGGGATGAAGCTAACGTGGAGAAGCAGCGGCTGGAGGAGAAGCAGCGCCTATCACGGCGTCGGCGGCTGGAGGCCAATGCGCGGGGAAACAGCCTGAACGCCGACGAAGGTGAGGCAAGCGGGAGCCGAGGCCCCAGGGCTGGGGTGCGTCCCGGGGCAGATGGCGTGGGAGGGGATTCTCCCGGGCAAGGGTGACACCTCGGGAAAGAGATGGTGAGTTCCTCGTGTGAGGGTCGTCCCAGCAGCTGCCCGCCTACCGCCTGCTTTCCCACCCAGCAGAGAAGGAGGCAGAGGTGTACTCCCCTCTGTGGTTTGAGAAGAGACTGGATCCGCTGACCGGGGAGACGGCCTGCGTTTACAAGGGCGGCTACTGGGAGGCCAAGGAGAGGCAGGACTGGCACATGTGTCCCAACATCTTCTGAGCGCCACTTCCCTCTGAATACAGGTTCCTGCACAGCCGGGCCCACTTTTCTCTAATGCTCTCAGTATAGCAAGGCCCTTCTCCCCTTCCTTCCCCACTCTTCGCCTTTTTTTTGTTTGTTTTTCAACACTCTTTGGGGGCTAGCAACCACATTTGAAGGAGGAAGTACTGACCAGGGTTTTCTCCAGCTCCCAGGTGCGCCAAGTCACCCCGCACCCCTCTACTCAGGCCGGGCGCCCGGGCGTGGGCAGCCCCCAGTCACCAGCCCAATCCCCCGAGGACCACTGTGTTCATCCTAGGGAGCCTCTCTTTTGATTTGGTTTTTTTTTGTTGTTGTTTTTTTAAGATCACCATTTCTTTCTAGCCATGACAGTTAGTACATACTCGTATTTTTAGTGTAACACTTAGCAGACAACTTTCCAAGTGTGCTTTCTTGCCACAGGAGCGTGCTGGCAAGTGCAATTCTTTTTAAGAGATCAGGAAGCCCCTTTGAATTGTGAGATTTTGTAGCTCTACATAGCAAGGCCCTGTTTGTATCTGAGCTGTCCACCCTCCCGGAGCCCAGGGCCCCAGGACTGAACAGAAAGGGGGGCCTGGCCCAGGAGAGCACGGGAGTCCCAGAAGCTACATGGGGTCTCCGAGGGGGCCGTGGTGGATGTGAAGACAACCACCCTTGCCTGGCCCTGGCTGAGCCAGGGCTGCTTCCGGCCCCAGAGACTAGAGGGTTTGCTAGGCAGGGCCTGCCGGTGCTCCCTACCCAGAACCAGGCCCCAAATCAGCAATAATGAACAAACTCTCAGCTGGGCCTGAGGGGGGGACCGGGCACTAGAGACCCAGCTTCCCACCTCGGACTCAGGAGTGCCCCATCTCAGTGTCCCTGGACCCTTGATCTGCCTAATTTATATATATGATATATAAATATATATGAGATAGCTATTTTGCTTAACTTTCTATAGTATGTGAAAGTGAAAAATTATGAAGGCAGGACTCCTGTCTGAGTTTGGCCCTCCTGCCAGCCCTGCCCTCCCCTCCTCGAGTCCCCTTCCCAAAGCTAGGTCAGGTGGGGGGATAGCACCGCTGTTGCCACTGTCCCCTTAGCACCCTCTCTTCAACCCTTCCTACGTCAGTTTTTCTTTCTACTCCAGGGCTGGTTTGGTTTTTATATTTAAATAAAAAATTAAAAAACTAACAACACTGTGCAATGCCTTAGCGGGCCCATTCAAGCAAGCATGAGACCAACCGGGGCAGGCAGTTCCTGTCCTCCAGTAGGGCCCAGGGCCCCGCAGTGCTGTTGAATGTACCTCTTCCCAAGACCGTTTGTGAACGAGCACCTTTTGACCTGTAACAATAAACCTTGGATTTGGCATTGTCCACCACCACCTTGGAGTCCTGGTGTGGCGCTGTGGGTTTATCTGCTGGACTGCAAAGCCAGTTTGAACCTCTAAGTCGGCAGTTCAAGCTCACCAGGCTCCTCGGAAACCCTATACACGGTCGCTCTGGGTCGGAACCCACTGGAGGGCGCTTAACAACCCCTTTTCCCTGTTTGTGGTAGGTGGAGCGGTGTTAGGCAGGCAGAACAGCTTATAGGGAAATAGGATGTTGGTTGAGTGGGAGGGGCCGGGGACAGACTACCCAATAAGCAAGGTCCCTACAGGCTTACTTGCTACCGGTAGTGAACAATTCCCAGGGGTGTCACCACCCTGTCCTCCGGCCCTGTCTGGGAGTGTAAATTTGAAAAGAGGCTTTGATTATGTAGAAGAGTGCTGTGAAGTTATTAAGACAGACACATACCTGGAAGCAGACTCTTCAGTGAAAAAATGTGGAATTGTTCACTACAGGTTAGTAAATAAGCACAAATAAGCCCATGCTTACCTTGATCACTAGGTAATCTGACACTGAGATGGGTGTGTGAAAAACCTCGTGGGGTAGAGGTATGGGCCCCAGGCTACCCAGAAGACTAGATGGCCAGCTCCTGGCTCAAAGCTAGAGCAGGGGGTTGACTCTGCCAAGAGCTGCCTTCTACTTTAGGTCCTAGACCTAGATCTACCTCTCCCCCAGAATAGCAGGGTTTTAGCCACATGAAGGCCACCACCCACTCCAGCTTATCTCTTATCTCCTGGGATGTCTGGGACAAACTAAGGCACCGATTGTCCTCCACACCTGCCTAGTGCGTTCCATTGTTGCTTCATAACAGCCTGGGTTGCCAAGCAACCCTATAACTAGCTCCCAGGACCCAGACAAGAGTGGGGCTCTTGGTCTGGCCCACTGGGTCCTCCCACAGCCAGCACTACCAGGTGAGGTGTGGGTAGGGAGGACACTACAGGGGCATCAGTGCTAGACTCCCGCTGTCTGACATCAGCCCCCCACCCCCATGATGTTGGATCCAGGACTGGTTCCACAGAACTCCCTGGGCCTTACTTTCCCTTGTGAGTGCCAGTTAGGAGATGGAGTTAGCTCTCAATGAAAGAGATCTCAGGGTGGTCTACCAGGGCAGGCGGGCAGGTGACAGTGGCCAGTCCACTGGGCAAATCAAGTCAGCAAAGAGCCTGCTGTGAAGTCAGTCTTGACCCTGCCAGCTGCAGGGATCAGGTGAAGTTATGAAGGGAGAGTGATGTCAGATCCATGTTTTAGTACGCCACCTCTGACCAGCAGTGGGGCATATACACCAGTCATCACTGAGTAGAAAACATAATAGAAAAAATGGATTCTGCAGCACAGGCCAAGAGGGATCACAGGATACATCTGGCTAAAAGGCATAAAGGGCTTTGTGGATAAAACATTACAAATGATAGAGAAGAATTTCTGAGTTAAAAGGAAAAACTCCATCTTAAACAAATTAGTTCCTCTTTTGGAACACTCCCCAGCTCGTATTTGGGCTAACTTAACATGGTCTCCAAAGTCTGACAAGAACAGGAGAAAATTATAAACCTTCAAAGTGTCACTGTATGATGGAGGGCTTTGAAACAAAGTTTAAAATTTGGAACAAAATATGAACAAATCTAGCAATATATCTAGAAATATCATTATCTCAGAAATGCAAGGTTAGTTTCAGAAACTAACCAATGTAATTCACCACATTAAAAAAGCAACACCTGCATGGGCACCTCAGTGGATGACTAAAACACTTTCGATCAAATTCAAGAGACATCAATATTTAAAATATTTTTTTAAAGGTTCAGCAATGGGAATGCCCTTTCCTACTCTTCCAGTGTCAAAGCATTCTGTTCTTGAATCAGGGAGGTTCAATGTGCAGGGATCTTAGAGTCCAAAGGATATACCCCATTCCTGGCTCTTCTGCCTTGATAGTAGTAAGATCCCCCACTCACTGGCTCTACTAGATATAATTTTATACCCATATTAAGAGTTCCAAATTTTCACAGTCACGACTAACTCTGTTAACAATTATTAATATCATCCTATCAGGATCTTTTCCCACCTTCTCTTATCCAGACCCATCAGGAGAAGAGTAGTGTGGTGGGAATTACAAAGACTAAGGCTAGAAGAGACATAGTAAATAATTCACTACACCACAGAATGGAAGAAAATTTCCTTAATCTGATAGATGATATCTACAAAAACAAAAAATCAAAAGTTTACGGCAAGTGTCATATTTAATGGTAACCCACCGTAAGCTCTTCCTGTGAGACGAAAAAAACTAAAGATGCTCATTATCTCACCAGTGGCCCTAGTCAAGGAAATAAGGCAAGAAAAAATTTGTGAAAGGTATATGAATTAAGAGAACTAGATTGTTCACAGATGAACAAAAGATTCTACAGACAACAGAATAAAAATCATATTTTATGTACTATCAATAAACTCAAAAAAATGAATATTTTAAGACATTACAATTGTTAAGTGCTGTCGAGTCAATTCCAACCCATAGCGACTCTGTACAGGGTTTCCAAGGAGCAGCTGGTGAGCTTGAACTGCCAACCTTGCAGTTCAAATGGCTTTGCAGTCTGGTGCATTAACCCACAGCGCCACACCAGTGGGCACTTGACAACAACAACAAGAAGTTAATGGAGAGGACTATCAGCCTCACAGTTTGGTAGACTTAGAAAGATGTCGATTCTTCTCAAATTAATGACAAAACTATTTCCAGTGAAAATTCCTCTTGGTTTTCATATGGAGCTTGATAAGATGAAACTAAGATTTATATGAAAATGCAAAGGGCTCAGAATAGTCAAGACACTTGCAGTAGAAATAGTGGGAGGGCTGACTCTACTAGAAATCAAAACTTATAATAAAAGTATAACAATGAAAGGAAAGCACTTTTAGAACTGTCAAATAAAAATTTAGAAACAATACAAAAACAGCAAAAAGAAATCCGAAGATTAATACTAAAATTTCAGAGATAGATAATACACTGAAAGGGCAAAACAGTAAGTAGTAGAATTGAATCAATGGAAGGCCAAATTAGTAAACTTGAAGGCAAATCTCTCAATACTCTCAATAATATACTAGAGGAGGAACAAGCTGAAAACAGAAGAAAAAAAATCTGAAGAAAGCCTAGGAATTATGTGGGATACCATCAGGACGAATAACTTATGTGAAATTGGAATTCCAAAACAGGAAGAGACAAAAACAGAAAAATATCAGAGTTGTTGGACGAAAACTTCCCTAACATCATGAAAGAAAAAAAGATAAGCATTCAATCTTTGTTTCCCTGGCATACCACTATAAAACAGACACTTGAGGGGGAGATAAAGGAATAGCCAGAAATATCACCATAGAAAGCTTCTGCCTATAACTGATTGGAATACCTAAAACAGGGCTACAACATACTCAGTGAAGGAGGCTTCCTGCGGAGCCTCTGCATTACATAAGACTATAGGTGGAAGCCTGAACCACATCCAGATCTTCAGAGATGGGAAATTTCCACTTGAAAGGACAAGCAGACCAGCCTGGAGCAGCTAGAAGAACAGAAGATACTTCTTGAAAGAAAGACCGACAGTAAAAATACAAAACAATAACGGCAGTCTAATTGATTACTACAAGAAC